ATGACGTCAACCTCAGCCATGTCTGAGTAGATCCCGAGTTGGGCTTAGGGTTCTCGAAAGGGGCTCTCATAATCGATTAAGACATCTAGGTTTATAGATCTGGGATTTCAACTTTGTTCTCTGTTTATTCTTGTTCTTATTGCATGTATGCTTGATTGATCACCTAGTATCTGATCTAGATAGTTAGTGTTGCGAAAGTTTTCATTAAGTATCAGCCCTAGAATGAAACATGCGATTTTTCCGTAGGAGTGGAAATCTACCTGCGGCGAGATCGTGAGTATTGACGAGTCTTGTGCAGCTCTTGCGTTCTCTCCCTTCCAGGGCCAGAGTAGAAACCTACTGGTCAGGGTTGCGAGAAACAGTTGGTTATGATCACGACAGTGACGTAGTCATACCGTCATACTCTAGCTCTAGAACCCCATATATCGATATCCGTCAATCCCAATCTATCTACCCTGGTGTTAAAACCGATTATGATCCCCGTAGAGTTCCCAAAAGCTCAGCGTTTTTAGCCATAGTTTACAAACCAATCGATTTTTACTTGCTTATTTAGATCCGCATTTCAATTGTGTTTAGTTCGATATTCTGCTTGCTCTACTTGCTTTCTATTCGATTTTTCTACTTGTTTTCTAGGATAGATTTATTTGTTATAACACATATCATATATGGACTCTTATACCGGCCCATTAGGCCCATCAGGGCATTGTACTTAACCTAGATTCCCTATGTACTCTATATATACATTCCAGTGATTAATAAAGTTTCTAAGTTTTCACAACACGTTATCAGCACGATAAGACTCTCTGAGCGAAAAACCCTAATAAATCCGGCCACCACCAAAACCCTAAAAGCAAGTCGAAACTTAAAAGACGCATATCTTCCAAACCGTGAGGAACCAGAAGACGATCTACATATCAAATCGAAGCCCTCGACGAGACGAATCTACTGGTGAAAACCGTTTGTCGATCCAACGTCGGACGCGCCCTCACGCACACTTACAGTACACGACGATCAACCGAAAAAAAAAAACCAGATCCGAGTTTTTCCTTCTTCAACCAGCAGCTTCTCCAGTTTTGGTGATCAATCCTTGGAATTTGTAGCGGCTAACTGAGGTCTATTAGCTCCCAGTTTCATTAGCCTGTCAGAAATCCAAAGGTGGAAAAGGTATCTTCTAAAACTGAGAGCCATAGAACCTGTTGTTTAAACACTTCAAAACCCTATAAAAAAAAAAAAAAAAAATCGATCTCTAATTGATTGAAAGTGTTTGATACTCTGATGATTGATTGATAACTTGTTGATTGATTGTTTAAATTACAAGTTTATGCATGTTCAAAGGTTTTAAACTCGTTTTATAAAACCCTAATCTACAAAAACCTAACAACCGTTTTTGGCCATGTTTATGGCATAAACCTATTCGATTTTCTTCATGTTTAATAAGCTTGTTGCAGCTTATTTGATTGTTGATTCTCTTGCTTGAAACACTTGATTGAATAAACTAATAAAATCAACCCTAAATCCTAAGCTTGATTCACGATTTTGTAATCTTCAAAATCGTAAGTCATAATGCTTAAACCCTAGTCCTTTTCACGTGATTTCTTTGTTGTCCTTGTGAAATTATTAAAACCATCGACCACAGATCCTATAGATCTCGAAATCACATCCAAAATATGTTTTCCAAACCGTTAAAACCCTAGATAAAACCCTAATCATATTCGGCTCCCCTAGGGTACCTCCTAAACCGCCTAAAACCGGCTAAACCTGGTTCTCATTAACCGAAATTATATTCGGCTTTAACCGATTAAATCACAGCTATTAAACCGACATCATGTTCGGGGTAACTAAAACCATACCCTTTAAAATTTACTATTTCCGAGAAAGTTCCCTCTAATAGAAAGTTTCCTCATATAAAAACTTTCCTCATATAGAAATTTTCCCGACATAGAAACTTTCCTCATTTAGAAAATTACCCAAATTAGAAACTTTCCAAATTTAGAAACTTTCCTAAAATAGAAATATTCTCAAAATAGAAAGTTTCATCATCAGCATTCAAAATTTTCTCAAAACAATCCCTAACAAAATCAATCTCATGTTTCAGATGTCAAACATTCAGAAATGTGAATTCGATGCCCTTCACGTCTCCGGGGATAACTACCTCGAGTGGGCCCTAGACATGCGCTTGTTCCTCGCATCGAAAGAACTCGATGCGTGTATTACCGACGGTAACACCGCATCCCGTAAGGGACAGTCTCAGGCGATATGTCACATACGCCATCATCTGGCCCCGAGCCTTAAGCAGCAATATCTCACTCTTGAGAATCCACTTGAATTGTGGCAAGCGCTGAAAAAGCGATATGACCATCAGAAAATGGTCCAGTTGCCTCAGGCAGATTTCGACTGGAAGAACCTTTGGTTCCAGGACTACAAATCCGTAGATGATTACAACAACGAACTCTTTCGTATTGTTGCCATCCGGAAACTCTGTGGTGAGGATGTGACAGATAATGATCTCCTCGAGAAAACATTATCCACATTCAGCACAGAGAATGTTGTGCTCCAACAACAATACCGTGCAATGAAACACACATTGTACGAAGACTTGTTGTCCTGTCTTCTCCTCGCTGAGAAGAATAACCAGCTGCTTATGAGGAACAGCGCTATGAGGCCCCCGGGATCGGCTCCTGTCCCAGCTTCTCGTCAAGAGTCCTACCATGTTCAACCCGATAGATCCTCAGATCACCGCCGTGGACGTGGTAATGGACGTGGTAATGGCCGAGGACATTACCATGCTGAAATCCTAGCCATTCATGAGGCTAGTAGGGAATGCGTCTGGCTGCGCTCCATGACTCAGCACATCCGCAGAGATTGTGGTATGGACGAAGACACACAGTCCACGGTGATGTATGAAGACAACGCGGCATGCATAGCTCAGCTCAAGGAAGGATATATCAAAGGAGATCGGACGAAGCACATTCTACCGAAGTTCTTCTCAACCTCAGACTGGCAGAAGGACGGCACTCTCAGCGTTCAGCAGGTCCGATCCAGTGAGAATTCAGCTGACCTCTTCACCAAATCATTGCCTACTTCAACACACCGGAAGCTCGTCAAACAGATAGGAATGTATAGACTTAGAGATCTGCAGTGATGCTACAATCAGGGGGAGTAATGCGTGTTGTACTCTTTTTCCTTCACCATGGTTTTGTCCCACTGGGTTTTTCCTGGTAAGGTTTTAATGAGGCAACATTCCCCAGCGCATTATCGAGATCCCGATTGAGTAGCTGACCCGGTTCACTCGTCCAAGGGGGAGTGTTATAACACATATCATATATGGACTCTTATACCGGCCCATTAGGCCCATCAGGGCATTGTACTTAACCTAGATTCCCTATGTACTCTATATATACATTCCAGTGATTAATAAAGTTTCTAAGTTTTCACAACATTATTTGCTTTCTTTAGTTTTAGTTTAATCCGTGAAAAACAACCAACCTCTAAAACCAATCTAGTCTAGACATAAAGTTAGAAACCGTAGAATAATACCAGGCACACAAATCTTTGTGGATTCTATTCCTAAATACTACAACTGATTAGCTGTGCATTTGCGGCTTTCATTTGTTTTTGTTAAGGGTAAAACTTGTTCCCTCACGCAGTTGACACGCATCAATTTGAGAGGATATAACTTCTAAAATTTGTGTACTTAAAAGGTTCAAGATTGAACCACAGTTAAATTTTTTCCTACCTCCGCCACTACTAATAGGGTACTTCTCTCTCTATTCTTTATTTAAGCTTCTATATCTTGCTAGAAGAGTCACTACAAGAAAACATGCTGAATTCTTATGAAATTTTCTACGAAAATTTTGGTAAGAATTTGTTTTTACCATTTTCCTATGAATTTATGACAAAAAATAAAAATGGTAGGAAGTTGAAAGAAAATTTCCTACGATAAAAATCGTCAGAAAATGGTCAAAATTTTCTTACCAATATTCAACCAAAAAAATATCTGTAGGAAATCTGATCAGAAAATAAAATAGTAAGAAATCGGTTAAAAAAATTTACTGTGATAATGGTAAGAAATTCGTCAGAAATTTCTGACCACTTTTTTACAAACCAATTTCCTATGAAGCAAATAATTTATTATTTAAATATCCTATTAATTTCTTACCAAAATCAGTAAAAAAAGAAATGAGAAAAATCTCACATCGACAAACCATAGTGGAAGACACACTGAACATGCTCTATAAATAGTGAGATACCTTAGCTATAAAAAATACTGAGTTAATTAATATAATTTGGGCTTTAGAAGTTCCATATTTAGTTAAAATTAATTTCTAATTAGTTTTTAATTGGGCTGATTAATTTTGGATTTAATTTTTATAATTTATTTAATAATTGAAATTATATAATATTGGAATTAATTAAATTAAAACTGTTTTTACTTATCTAGTAGGAAAATGGTAGGAATATGGTAGGAAAATGTTCGTAGTTGAATATTTTCGTAGGAAAATGGAAGAAAAGTAGTAAATTTCGTAGGAAAATGAAAATTTTCCGACCAAAAGTTTCATAGGAAATTTCCTACCATTTTCTGACTATTTTTAATTTCCGACGGCATAGAACCTACCAAAATTTTTCGTCGGAAATTGGTAGGAAATATCTGTTTCCTACCATTTTCTGATAATATTTTTCGTAGGAATACCTGCTGTTTTTTTGTAGTGAGTAATCTGGATATGTCGAGCAAGGAGGCCATATCTAGTAGTCTTCTTATAAGATGAGTTCAAGTAAGTTGTTATAACTTCAAAATTTTATTCAGTATATTCATATAGTAGTTCTTTGGCCAAAAGGAATGAAGAATATTACTTTAAATAGTTGTTGTAAACCTTAACTCTATCTTTCGTTCCCCAGAACAGAGATCGAGGTGGTCGAATGACCAAAGCACATGGCTAAGCGATGGGTTAAGATTTTTGAATAGTAACCAATCTAAAAAAAATAATCTAACGTGGAAATATTTAAAGGAAGAAATGTTGCTCACATATGTACAATATATATAAATTAATTACGTAGACGTAGTAACATCGAGTCTCCAAACTTTACTAGAAACAACATACGCAAGTTGAGTCTAGCAAAGAGTAATGCTGGGAAGATATCCAGAAATTAAGTTATGAAGGGATCAACAACTTGTAGACTCACCATAGATATAGTCAAGAACTGCGATAACTCCGAAGACAAAAGCTGTATCCACATTTGCTTTTATCACTACCTTATATATATCCCTGCTCCCAATCCATTCTTTTACTTGAGCAATGATATTTCCGGTGGAATCAATGATGCTACAATCTTTATCTGGGAAATACCCTCTCACATCAAAGTAGCAATTCTCTGGTTGGACCGAGATGCGGATTGAACCAGTTATGGAGAAGCAAGAATGTTTGGGATCCTTCAATATAAAAACCGGTTTAGGGCTACCTTGGTAGTCGTAACTATAGCCTCTCCATTTGTTATGAATGCTAAGAGCCTGCACTATTCCTCCCTACACCACTCAAAACATGAGACTTGTAAGAAAGAAAGCACACAAAATTCCACAAACCAGTCCAAATCAACTTTTTCCTCTTCTCAAGGAATATATGTCATGATGGTTGCTTTAATTTGACGCACCACTTCTTTATCATACCTGTTAATGTATATCTATGTATCTACCTAGTTATTGTTGTTTGCAGTGCATTTGCTTTAGGCTCTTTATAATATGATACCATTTCTAGGGTCCCAAACTATGCTCTTCATTACAAACAAATGAAATAATCATCTTTTTTCCCCCTAAATTAAAACATTATTTTTTTTTTACTAGTCGTTGTTTAGATGAAGCTCATTTCACCGGTATAAGTCCACATTTCTTTTCAAAGCTTATTTTCACAAATTGCAAAGAACGAAATTCACTAAAATGATGCAAGCTAATATATATTAATAATTTGGTTGGTCGAGAATCGAGATTGTCAATGAAAGATTAGCATACAAATTAGGCATAACAATAAAAAAGTACCTTTTTGTGGATGAGAAGCAACTCGTCACCATCACCATCTCTGAGAACTAACTCTCCTTTGGTGCCAAGAACTCCACAGCCGTCGATTTTAAAAACGATATTCTCTTTGCAATTTGTCACTACGAAGCCACCGCCGTTGACCACGTGTGGCCGCCGTCTCACCACCATCACCTCCTCCGCCGAGGAACAATGCAACTTGCTTACCACAGCTTTCATATTTTTTCGTTATTTTACTAACAAACTAAAACTCTTGGGTTTTTCTTCTATATATAGTCGTATGGGTTACTTTTTTTTTCATTTAATTTCTTGACTCTAAAGAAAGCAAAAAGATGAAAATGGTCCATTAATTGGTCAGTTTTTCAAATGTTCGGCAACGTACTTTTGACTTTTACATACCACGTCTCAACATAATTTTCAATTTTCGTATTGAGTCTCAAAATATTCTTATAATTAAATATATTGATGTGTAAGCTCTGTTAAATAGCCAATATGTTAAGTTCCAATCAGACTGAATCCGTAAATATTGTTGTTATTATCCAGTAAATACCGAACCATGAGGGAATTCAATAATAATTCATAAATTATAGGGGTTTTTGACGATGGTTAAGACATATGATATTGCGTGTTAAAATTTTGTGGGTTTGATCTATGTTTTTTGCAACTTGAGAATCAAGTTACAAGAAAATGTTATTAAGAAGTTTTTTTTAAAGAAAACTCTAAATTACAAGAGTATTTTCTTGCCAGACATATATATATTCCAAATCTAAAATTGAAAGTTCGTTGGTATATAGATAAAGAAAAGAAAATTTCCGCGAGGAATATTTGAGAAGTTTAGTAACATGCGAATTCGTGTGGGAGATTGATTACTTGTTAAGGCTGAGGACAATTGTGTGTAAGCCAAAACCCCCTTTTTCATCTTTTATTCTATCTTTACCCATTTCAAAATAAATAGCTTACTTTTCATAGCAAGTATAACCCCTCGTTTTTTTTCAGCCACTATATTATATGATTATTCATGAATGTAACTTAAAAAACGTTTTAAATTTTCTATTTTCCTGCTAAAGAGATAATGTATGGGTGGGTGTATGTACTTCTTATAAATATAATATTAGTTAATATTTTCTTATAAATGTGGATGCCTGTTACAGCTGTTAGTGTTAGAACTTGAATCAAAACCGTAATGTTACATTTACGTAGTTCACATTAAGAGCCAATTATTTATTTTTTAGCTCAAAGAACATTCACATAAAAATTTCAAAGATACGTTAGTTGTCAATTTGACTTGTCATTGACTTTAGACTTTAGTAAAAGAAAATCTTTATAATTTCTTTGAGAATGACTGTGTTGTTAATAGATTCTTGGGTTCTGCCACGTTTCTGGGCACATTTCATAGTGTAAGAGGACACGAAAGTGTAAACTACTTTACAAAAATGAAAATTTTTGAGACAGATCTAAACTGTTGTACTATATCTGTTTGGGATAAATTTTTACTTGTTGTTGGGGTCGGTTTTCACCTTTACGAGTTTAACTATTCGAAAAAGACTAAGTGTCGGAATCGGGTTTCGAAAAGTTTAAGAACGTGATTTTGGTAGGAGGAATCGAACCAAAGAAGCAATTAAACCGAGCCGACCCTGATTCGATCTTGGGCCGAACCGAACCAAAAGCTGGTTCGGTTAAACCAAGCCAAAATCAGAAGCTCTCGATCCAACCGAACCAAACCGGTCAAAACAATCCCGCAAACAAGATGTATTGGGCCGAGCCAAAGGACAGGAGACATTAGTGGGCCGAGCCGGGTAACCGCGAAGATCCAGTAAACGGGCCCAAAAGGAGTTTACCCTAAGGATGATCGACGTCGCCAGCCGCACAAGAGAAAAGGAAAAATTTCGAGAATCTCGGGAGAGAATCTTGGCTAAGCGGTTTGTAGATTTAGTATAAATAGTCGATGTAATTCTCTCATTATGTAACTTTTACGCAATCACGGAAACCCTAAGCAATAAAACTACTTTTCGATCTTTGTTCTTGAGATTAGATCCCTCTTTTTCCTTAACAAATTTTGATTGTGCGAGTTTCGACTCACACAATTTGGCACCGTCTGTGGGGAAATATAGCTTTTTTTACACCGAAAACTTTCTTGAACGAGATCCGAAAAGATGTCCGGAGACAAACGGAGAGACGACCAGAACAACGGGGGAGATCCTACCCGAAATGAGGAGAATCCTCCTCCGACGGATGCAGGCGTGACAGCCGAACCCTTGGACGAGGTGAAGAAGATGCTCGAAGCAATAATGGAAAAGTTTAACATGCAGGAAAAGCAGAACAGCTCTTTCGCGGAAAGACTCGAAGCATTGACCACGGAGAACCGAATCAGGAATCAACGCCTCGGAGTGACGGGAACTTCCGGAGACGTCTTGCGAAGGTTCAGCCTGCGACCAACCGCCCTCGAGTTCGCGACACCCGCAAACAGGCTCGGAGGGACGAAAATCCATCCGACTTGGTGACACCCGCGGTGAAGAAGTCCACACCGAACGAACCACCTCTGCTAGCTCGGAGAGGAAGAGCAAACGGCGACAAGCATGCCAAGCAGAACGATGGTGCGGTCGAAGAAGATGTCGGTAGGGAGACGATCACTGTCGATGACGAAGACGACCAAAAAGAGGAGCTCGTCCTTCAACCCAGCTGTGTTTTGGGACATATTACCCGAGCCGAACTCGAAGAAGCATTGGAAGGAGCAATGGCAAACGAAGAAGACGACGCCGCGCTCCGCAATCGAAGCCTGACAGAAGCGGAGGAAAACTTGCTCTGGGTCGAGCAAAACAAAAGAAGATGGTTCGGCGCGAAAAGGGAATCAACGCACTAACGCGCGCCGAGGCGCTCTAAATGGTGGCAGTATTGAGGACGAAGTTGACGAGCCGCGAAAGAACAACCAAATGAAGGAGATGAACGAGCTCCGAGCCACTATAGCTCGGACAGCCGCAGAGATGAAGGCAGTTATATCACAAGTCCATCATGCGATCAGTTCGGCACCGGAGATAGATCGAATGTTGGGAGAAACGCAGCGCACACCATTCATGGCGCGAATCACCGAAGCTCGGATTCCTGAACCAGGGAAGATAAGAATCCCCTTTTACGAAGGGATAACCGACCCGAAGGCACACATCACCGCTTTTCGGATCGGAATGGGACGAGCCTTCTCGAAAAACGCCCCCAATCTCAGCACGGACAAAAGAGATGCCGGTTTCTGTCTCCTCTTTGTCGAACACCTGAAGGGCCCAGCATTGGAGTGGTTCTTGAGGCTCGAGCGTAACTCCATTAACAACTTTCAGCAATTGTCTGCCGTTTTCTGAAACAGTACTCAATGTTCATGGATCGAGGAACCTCCGATGCCGATTTATGGACTTTGTCTCAAGGACCAAACGAGCCATTGAGAGCTTATATGGATCGGTTCAAAGCGGTGGTGTCAAAGGTGGAAGGAGTGAGCGATAAGGCAGCCCTGGAAGCCCTGAAAAGATCACTATAGTATAAGTCCGAGTTCCGAAGAGAAATGGCGTTGAACACGCCGCTCACGATCCAAGATGCCCTACATCGCTCTGCCGACTTTGTCGTGAATGAAGAAGAGATGAAGAACCTAGACGAGCAATACGAGTCGACAAAAGCGGCGATCCGAAATTCTCTCACGACTCGTCAAAGAAACGTGAGGAATAATGACTATGTGCACCACGAAGGGCCGAGGCTTTGAGGAGCCCACAATTATCAAGTGGAAGCAGGGCGAGGCAAAGGACCATGGAACACTTGGACTCGGAACCCCTGAACTTACGATGAAAAGGCATTCTGCGAACACCACCAATGCTACGGGCATTCGACGGCAAATTGTCGGTTCTTGGCAGCCAGACTCGCCGCAAAGCGAGCAGTAGGGGAACACGAAGAAACCAAGGCTATCAAAGAACCCGAGGACGAGAAGCGAGAAGGCGACGAAGTAAATCCCCCGAACCGAGAGCTAGGGAACCGAGGCGAAGCCCAAAAGCGAGGAAGGAGGAATAACGAAGATCCGCGGGATGGCCCCAGAAGAAGGATCAATATGATAATGGGAGGATCACAATACTGTCTCGACACCGTATCGTCGATTAAAGCTTTCCAAAGGAGAGCCGATGCAAGTGTTAACTGGGCGGAGCCCCCGTGCTATCCTGCTACCAAAATTTCGTTTTCGGAAGACAAAATTGTGGGAATCGATGCGCCACATAGTGATCCCCTCGTAATTGAGCTCACTATTAGAGACCACGACGTCGCTAGAATCCTGATCGATACGGGAAGTTTGGTAGACGTCATCTTCCGCGAAACCCTCAGAAGGATGGAAATCGATTTGTCCGAAGTAACCGCTATCCCGAAGCCGCTGACAGGTTTCTCAGGAGAAACAACGATGACGATCGGAACGATCAGGCTTCCTGTGCAAGCAGGAGGAGTAACAAAAGTCGTGGAGTTTTCCATAGCTGACCATCCGGCGATTTACAACGTGATCATGGGAACGCCGTGGTTGAACTCGATGCGAGCCATTCCATCGACCTACCATTTATGCGTCAAGTTCCCAACTCCTGGTGGAATCAAGACGATATGGGGAAACCAAAAGGAGTCACGCATGTGCTTCCTTGCCGAGCATAAGATGAGGAAACCCGTAGTAGACTCGTTCGCAGGCAAAAACAGGAAAAAGCTAAAAACAAACCGAGAACCTGCGAACGAGCTAGCCAAGCTTTTATAGCAATTACAGATCGGTGAGGCGCGTGAGGAGAAGAGCGCACCGAGCTGTGATCCGGTGATCTTGATATGCATAGATGAGCTGCATCCGGAGCGGTGTGTAAAAATCGGAGCAACACTCGACGAGGCGATTAAAGAGGAGCTTGTCGCTTTCTTAAAACAGAATGTTAGAACATTTGCATGGAGCGCAGAAGACATGCCGGGAATCAGCATCAATGTAGCATGCCATGAGCTCAACGTGGACCCGATGTTCAAACCGGTGAAGCAGAAGAGGAGAAAGCTAGGTCCCGACCGAGCCAAGGCAGTCAACGACGAAGTGGAGCGACTCCTAAAGGTGGGTTCAATTTCCGAGGCCAAATACCTAGATTGGCTCGCTAATCCCGTAGTAGTGAAGAAAAAAAACGGTAAATGGCGTGTGTGCATAGATTTTTACTGATCTCAATAAGGCGTGCCGGAAAGATAGTTTCCCGCTACCTCATATCAATCGACTAG